CCTACACAGGTCGGGTCTTCTGCGAGCGGATGACCGGGGGGCCGTGGACGACGCACTTAGCGGTCGCAGGAACGTCTCCGGGCGCTTACGACATCAGCTTTGAGCTCACAGGTTGCATTATCACATTATATAGTAACTACATCGAGTTAACTAAAGTCCTTACTAAGAGCAAGGTGGGAACTGAAAAACGCTAATTGAAGGAAGGGAGGTGTAGGGTGCTGCCCGTTGCCATGGTGTCGCCCCTTGCCTAGCACAGCTTGTTACGCAGTAGCTTCTTTAGGGCTGAGCGGCTTGCGTTTTGGTTCGGTGGGTTGGGGATGACAATGCCTCGCCTTGTGACCGTTCCGAAGCCTAGCATGTGGAGAACTAGTTGTAACATGAATGCATTAACCCCTGTTGCCGTGCCTGAACCATCTAACGCAAATTTCTTTGGCTAACCAACTTCATGCTCAGGATCCCCACGTGAGTCCTGCAATCCAGAAGCCAACACCCCCGATATCCTTGCGAACCCTGCAAGTAGAAGGGCGTGCCATATTGATCTCGTTTCGGAGTGATGTCTGGCTCCACTAGCATTGGCATAGGCTGAGAGCCATACGCTGCGAGGTGTCTTGTGCTTGGGTCCCGGGGCTGAAGCTCAGAACTTGGGCCACCTCTGAAAGTCGGGACAAGTGACTGGAAGTCTTGAGTCTGTTCCAGAATGTCCCTGACCTTCCTGCAACCTAGCGACAGTGTGACAGGCTCATGGGACTCAGTGATGGATATGCGGACGAGAGGTGGCATTCAGAACTGCAGCACTTAAACATCTTGCTTCCGACCTGCATCCTACGCCATACGCCTCCGGATCTTCCAAAGTCATGGCGTTTAAATGATCCATCTTGCACCTGAACTGTCAGTTCATGCTCTGCAAAATACTACCGAACTGCTGAGTACTGAGCCCATCCCAGGCAAGGGGTCTAGGGTCCAGGGGGGAAGGTGAACTAGTCAGTAATCGAAGTGAGCTAGGGAATCCCAGCAGTGCTCTTCCATGCTCCAACTCTCTGAAGGCTGCTACAGCGTAGCCACAACCTTTCTGGTCTTTCGGCCATGACCTCTGGAAGGGTGTAAACCATGGAGTCAAAAGATAGGGTCAGCTATGACCTCTGGAAGCGTGTTAACCAGGGAGTCAGAAGGATGGGCTCAAGGGCCTTGGTTTCAGCATAGAGACATGCTCCCCAAGCCCTGGTATGAATCCTACCTTGTAAAAGCAATAAGCGACCCCCAATCAAAAACATGCCGGCTACTTGCTCTACGACGAGCAAAGAGCCACTTCAGCTGGGAGCGTTTAAGGCCTTTTTCCGAAAGCCCAAACCAAAGTTAAGGCACCCATGGCTGGGTTCATATGGGTAGTTGTCAAAATTAGGGCCCCTTGTTGGGTACCCTAAATATTAGGTGCCGTATTAAATTATAGAAACCCAAAAAGGGACTATAATTTTGACAACCACCGATATAGGTCCTGCATCTTGATGCAGGGCACCCCAAGCCGAGGAACGCCGAGCACCTGAGAGGCTCCCCCGAACGGCGGCTGCGAGGGGTTGGGTGTGGGGGGGGGGGGGGGGGGGGGGGGGGGGGGGGGGGGGGGGGGGGGGGGGGCTTGCAGGGTTTGGGGACTTAGGATTCATTTTAGGGTTTAGGGATTTAGGGTTCATGTTAGGGTTTGGGGATTTAGGGTTCATTTTTGGGGTTTAGGGTTTATAGGGTGTGAGGGTTGGGCTGCTTTAGGGGGCAATTGACATGCCTTTTCGCAGCCTATCATGGGTTTACATAAGGGAGTACAAGACTTGAAAGGGCTGCCCTTGAAAACAAACGCTACATTGCGCGAGAGTTTCTACAAGGGCTAGTTAGAAGTATGTCAAGTCAATGGTGATGAACCTTTCGTAGCTATACGCAAGTGAATTCACCCCAAACACAACAGCAGTCACTATAGACCCCACGCCCACCGCCGGGTCAACCTTAAAGGTTCTGGAAGCGTGACTCCCACACGCAAATCCTTTGCCCCTCTAGCTCGCACCACCCATCTTGAGGGCCCCGAACACCGAAACGCAGTGGCAGAAGTCAAAATCTAAACCAACAGCCCAACACTCAAACATCTCTAAATCCTCCAACATCCAATAAGCCTTAACGCCCAAACCCGACAACCTAACTGACCAAACTTTGAATTCCTACACCGACTATTCCAGGTTAAATTTTAGGACTTTAACGTCTACGTTTTGAGCTAAGGGCTTGCGTTTCAGCACTCACTCTCGGACATGCCTAGGCTTGCATTTACGGTTCAGGGTCTAGGGCTTGAGGGCTTACGATCAAGCTTGATAGGGAGTAGTCTTCAAAGTTTACGCTTTCTCTGGCGGCTGCTTGGGCCAATGCCGAGCCGATGTAGTAGCCTTTTTTTGCCTTGAATCCTGGCACGAAGGCTTTCAGTCTCAGAATAAACTGCGAGAATGCATAGCTTAATTGTAGGAAACTGCTGTGTTCTAAGTCTTTTGGCTGCTTCAGGCTGGGTCCTTCACCCGGTGTACGCAGGGGTAGCGTTGCTTGCTACCAATCAAAGCTGTAAGCTCCCAGCTTCAGACCCTGACCGAGGCTTAATACAACTGGTGCTAGGAATCAGTACAGGGCAACATAGACGACTTACTAAGTCAAGATACATTCAGATACATTTCTCAAAAGGGCCAAGGTAGCCCCTTCTTGGACCCAAGCCAGGGGCCAGGGTACCCCCGAGCAAGCTGATCAGGGACCTCATGACACCTCGAACTCACACTACCGAAAACTTGCCAACAAACCCACCTCATCGGCGGTGCCCCTAGAAATCAACACGTCAATATCCAAACAACCACGATTTAAACACCCCGAAACACCTCCGACGGCCTGCAAAGCCAACTCCCATAATCATGCGGTACTTCTCCTGGCAAGGCAGTACAAGGGCGTGAGCGACTACCAATCCTCGTCCTTCGGGTTCCTCAATATACTTCTACCATACAACACGCCGTACATGCTTCTCTATTTAGGTATCTGGCCTTAACTTTCTTGATTCTGAGTGGGCCTTCTGCCAACTACCCAGATGTTAACATCAAGCCCCAAAGCAGCTGCCACGTCGGCATTCGCATCTTAAAGATATTAGGGTACATTCAACCTGCGCGGAAGAGTGCACTTTGGGTTTAGGGTTGAGGAGTTCCGGTTTACTGGGATCTTGTTGAAGTGCTGCTTAAACTCGTCATTTCCAACTCATACGGGGTTCAGGTGTACATGAGCGTGCAAATGTTTCTCAACAGGAACCCAGCTTAGGGCGTCTGGCTAAGATACGATACCGACTTGATTCCAAGAGGACCAAGACAAGGTCCCACTTCAGGGGCGAGGTTCAGCCCTAATTCCATTTCATTGTCTATCTTCTCTTCCTTTTGATTCACCGAGGTTCGTTTTCAAACCCCAAACCCTATATCTCCCCGTTGTAAGGAGCTTGAGGGGGGGCTTAGTGTGCAGGGTTTAAGGTTGAGGGTTACTGGATTCCTGCGAGTGTTTGTGGGACAACCGGATGGTTACCATCATTTTGATGGTTCGTTGTCGACCAGCGTGGAAAAGTCCACTGCAGCTGTCGCTGCGTTGAAAACACAGGGTTCAGGCATGGCTTCCCTCTGGAAAAACGGCAGGGGCCGTGATTCTGCATCTACGACACCGAGTCGCGTGCTCTGACTGCACGGTAAAGGTGTCGAGCATGTTCTCTTGGGGTTGCACCCCGGCCATGTGCACACTTCGCGTGCTTGGGCCAGGTCATCGTGCTAAACTATCTACAGTTCGTTCAGCTTCGTCTTCACCTCCTGGAGCTCCTTTTCCATCTTTTCCTTCTTATCCACGAGCTCCCTAACTTTGTCTTTCGGCGGCAACTTGTCCTCGGATGCGGTCGTCGCACGAACCCTTCAATGGAATCCCAGAATTCCCGCATGACACCCCCCTCCCGCCCGCTTGAGAGGCTCCCGTCTGTCCTCCACAAACTGCCGCAAGTCCACGGTCGTCTTCTCGACATCCTTCAACTTCTCCTCCACAACATCCACCTTCTTGCTATGTATAGCCTGCCTTTCCTCGATTTTTGACTGAAGCTCCATGGTCTGCGTCCGCTCTTTCTCCTGGGTATTCATTCCAGCCCCACGTTCCTATAGCAAGGGTAGTCTGGTACTACCCGCCTAGTAACCCACACGCCTTATATATGGCTCATTTGGGCAGAAAACACCCGAAGTTGCTGTAATTTGCCCGTGAATCAACCCCCCTCGACCCCTCTACCCCAAACCTTCATTCAACTCTGGTTAGGCCAAGCAGAACCAAAACAAGACTTAAAGATCCCCTTCAAAGCAGACCTAGTAGCCCCCCATACCCCAAACCTTAAAGCCTAAACACTAACCACACGCCAAGCCCTGAAAACCCTCAACCCTGATCCTTAACCCCCCAAAATCGAAAACTTCTAAAGCTGTATCCCATAGGACCGAAACCCTCATTCAGCCAGTTCTCTGCAGTTTGCTTGAGATCTTGTATTTGCGCCTGCTGCAGCAACAGGAACTTGTGGAGCTCCTCGGTCTTTCTAGAAATTTACGGATTATCGGGGATATTTCCCTCTCGCATGGCTGGAATCGATAATATAGGGATTAGGGATCTAGGCTTGAAGGTCTAGGGTTCGTGCTCTTCAAGCTTCAGTATCTTTCATCTTCTTTGTCATTCCTCTAATCTCTGCTATCCAGAAGTAAGTTTAGAGTTTACCGGCTCACCCAAACCCTAAACCTCAAACATTAAACGCTAAACCGGTGCTCCTGCGTGTTCTCCTGCTGCTGCCTGAGCTGCAGCTTCAAGTCATCTCCTTAGCTGACCTTTACTAAAAAGCATTCAGGTTCAAGTTTAGGGCTTAGGCTTGAAGGCTTGGGCACAGTGTTTCTACATGAACCATTATGTAAGCGAATATGGAACCCCTTGAAGGAAAATTGCTACACAACCCAAAAGCCAACCCGGTCTCTCTCCAACTTCTCTACGAACTCGACCACCATCTTCTGGATTTCTTCCTGCTTCTCCTTGCTGCCAAGCTCTTCGTTGACGATCCACTGCTCCTCGTCTGTGTTCTGCAGGTCGTCCATTTTTGCGATGAACACGATGCACGTTGCATCTTTCACAAACTCCAAGAGGTCGGGTGAGTACATCAAGATTACTGGAAGCAAGAAGAAAATTGTGCCGGAAAATGCCTCGTTTGCAATCCATGATAAAATCACCCGCACTCTGGGCCAATGGTGGTCTTTTTGGAAGCCTTCATAGAAGTACGGGTGCCAGAAGGGCAACCACTCGGCTGCCACGAAGGACCGCTCCCTCAGCCTTAAGACCAAACCAACGGCTGAGCCGCACACGTAGAATAGGAACTGCTGCTCTGTGACTTCCTCGTCCACAAGCTTCTCCTGATAGAAAACGGTGAGCAGCAGAAACATGTAGAGCATCACCTGAAGCACAAACACGATCCCGCATTCGAAGAAGTTCCCCACATGGAGGTCCGTATACCTTCGTAATTGTCGGTCAGTGACACTACTCGGTTTCAGTCTATCCAATTTTTTGTTGATTCGCCTTCACTCTAAGCCTGAACCGCTAAACCCCCTAAACCCAACCGCTAAACCGCAACAGCCCAGATACACCGACACCGGCTGCAAGTGCTTGCGCTCTGCTTTTTTGACACTCTCGGGGGGGTTTCTGGGGTTGCGCTGCCAGATCAGAAGTACCACACCTTGGGCGAAAGGTGGGGTAGTGGTTCATGTGGGAGTTCAGGGTTGAGAGTTCGTCTAGCTAGGAGTAAAGCCTTTAAGGGGTTCAAAGTAACCATCAGAATCATGATCAAAGTAAGACTAGGGAAGCTCTTGAGTGCTTTCTGCTGACTACATTGAAAGATATTCTAAGCTCTAGAATTTCTGAAAGTACACGCTAGGGTTTCTCAGGCCGTGGTTACGATGCTTAACGGGCTCCGCACCTCGTAGAAGGCTGTAGCTGAAGGTCACAACGACCGCGATAGCCGGAGAATGCTTCAGGGTGCTGTAGAAGAGGATGAAGAAGCCAACACTCTCCCAGAAAGAACCCAAGGTCATCAACATCCTCACAAACTGCGCGAGCCCGTGTAGGCTCTTCTGGGTCGGGCCGCAGCAGAAGTCTCTGAAGCGCATCGAGCAACAGCCGAGCAACAATGCACCGCACGGGGTGAAGACAAGCAGCGCAACACCGATGATGCTCCCCTGCTCACTGATCCAGTCCCCTCCACGAAAGCTCAATAACGATGAGGGCAACTGCACCTGGAGGGTCATCAACATTATGGTCCCTTCTTGGGCGCAATGAGTATTAGGGCCTGACTTATCATGGGGATCCAAGCAGGGGCCATACAGTTTTCAATGTTTTGACAATGACAACCCTCCACCTCGAAACTGAGTCTAAAGGACAGGGCTGCTTCGCCGAAGTCCAAATCAGTAATCGCGGACGAGGCTGATGACGTGGACCGTGTGGATGTTAGTGTTGACGTGGAGGATGTCATAGCCGAGGATATCGTAGAGGTTGATGTCGGATATCTAGAGGTTGATGTCGTGGTCCACGACGTAGTCGTGGTTGACTCATTGGTGTCGTTGGTCGGCTCGGAATCGGATACAGCTGCTGAAGCAGTGAAGCTGGCACAGCAAGCGCAAAGGATAGCAAAGGCCAGGCGGAGCATGGTGCACAGGAGATGAGACTTGGCCTTACCGGCTTCCTGCTGAACTTGATCCGCACCTGCGCGCCGTGTGCAAAGGACGGACAAATCAGCTAGATGGAAAACCCACAGGTTGGTGTTCAGAACCCCCCCATCCAATGACATTCAACACAAGGTATACTTGTAGACATACCAGTACAAAAACGGTACTACCGCATTCCTGTTCTACCAACTGCACCATGGGGAACTTGAGGGAGTTTTTCTGAACCCTCCCAAACCGAGGCAACCCCTCCAAGACCCCAAGCTTGCCACCAGAAAATCCGGCAACACAGACAGGAACGACATGTCTACTTGCGGCCGGCACCCTGCACGATGAGCCCCACACAAACTTCAGCCCTGCTCCAGTCACGGCTTAGGGTCTTTCGGGCAGTCGGAGCTCCAGCCCTCGACTCCCCTCCGTGAGTGCTGAGCTCCTGGGTCCCTGCTAGGAGACTCGTACACAGTTACCGCACTGCTAAACAGGGGGTCGGAGCAACCAGTATACAACGCCGGAGCTGCACCCTGAAACCTCAACTTTACTCCCTGCATCCGGAAACTTACATCCTACACCCTGTAAGGAAGGAACCCAATCCCCCCGCCCAGCGGGAACTTCATAAACCCCAGATCGCTAGACTTCGTAAGCGTCGACATCTGACATCTAAACTTCACCAGCATGTTGGGACCTGCATTTCGACGTAACTGCAACACTTCTCGGCAGGCCGAAGAGAATCCCGGAGGCCCGGAGGAGGAGCTCGGTTTACGGACGGTTCAACGGTGGAATGCGGCAGGTGACCACAGTTGGTCATAAGTCACTTAATATTTAGAAGCACAGTTACCCTACTTGTAACCGCACTTACAATTACCCATGCCCCAAGAGCCCACCCACCAGCTTGTTTTTTTCCATGGCCTTGCGCACATGTCTGTACACGTTGGCGCAGGCTTTTCTGCAAATGACTTGGCTGCATTTGCAGATATCGGCCTGAGAAAAGCTGGCCTTCAGGTTCGCGTTGCAGTCTCGGGCCTAAGCCCAAAACCCTAACACAAAACCAAACCCCTGAATGCTGAACCATAGAGGAATGAACTTATAGTGGCACCACGCTGAACTCACTTAGAGCTGCATCTCTGCAACATAAAAAGTATCTCATAGCGGGTTTCCGGCCCGGGTCCGGGTGCTGCATAGTTCCATCAAGACACCACTGGGGGATATGATGGGATATGATTACCAATTGTTCAAAGCACCATCGTATCCTCGAAACTTTGTATCCCACGATATTGGCAAGCGAAGCTTTAAGAACCTGAACCAGGAATGACACGTTCTCAGGTAAGCCTTTACTGCAGTAAGATTGACCCGATAAGGCTCAACAGACTCCAATTTCAAGGCCTTTCGACCCTAGCATCCTACCGGACATGGCTTTGGGGAAATGTTGAGCCTCAGGGTGATACAAGGATTTCCGACTGCGTCGGTCCTACTGCTGTATCCGGTGCCGTCGCCAGTCTCGGCTGATACCGAACGGCACTGCGATGCAGCTCTGACTGGAAAGCTTTCCGCGACAGCTGGGCCAACACCCAGGCCAGAAACTTGCACAGGCTGCCTGACCATCTGGAAAACTACACTGATACTGCAGCAGCTTACATGTACACTTGGTTGTTCCACCTCCGCAAACCTCCTGCTGTCCCGGTCTCACAAATCCTCGCCTGGGATACTTGGAAACCCTGCACTGGCTGCACAGCGCTCACAGAAGTCGATCCGACAGATGTCGCAGCGTCGCAGCATTGTACCAGGCGCAAAGAACTTCTCGCAGCCGTCACAGGTCCAGCCCTTGGTATACCTGTTTTTGGCAACCCTTCAATTAAGTCTTCGCGATTGGATCCCCTGTTCCCGTTTCAGACTGCACTACACTGACATGTATATCTATGCTCAAGAAAGCCCTAGGCACGACTGCCCGAAGTTGATCGTGTTGCCCTGGGCCAAACGCAGCTGTGCAAGGTGTTGGCAGTCTCTTGCACGGTAGACGTTGCGATTGCCTCAGAGCCGATTGGAAGAAGGGCTCTGCACCGATACATCTGCGCACGTGAAACGGTGGTGTGCTTCGGGATGCAAAGACTGGAAGGCAAGCAAGCAAGCAAGCAAGTACACATATATAGACCCCCGAAAATGCGCATGCGGGCCGGGTACAACACAAACTAAATACGTATTATGTTTTAGCCCTGGCTTCCGAAACTCTCGCGCTCGGACAAGCCTGCAGATTGAATGCTAAAGCCTATAAGCCCTACACCCGTTAGCTTAAACTGGGTTCCTGGTTAGCCAGGATCGAAAGGGTCCTGTTCAGTCAATCCCCTACGAGATACTGGCAAGCCCCAACGATAAAAAACATCAAAAAGCAAACAGGATCGGAACCCTGAAGTCGACAAAGTTAAGCCCTCTGACACTCCAGAGCCCATAAACATCCTCAAATGTAAAGCCTGTAAACTCCAAGATGTGTCGGAAGAAGGAGACACTTCTTAAACAAACTTGGATTCGGATTCGTAAGCCTCATACCACCAAAAATCCCTTGAACTCCAAGAGCCTGGAAAGAAGGAATGATGAAAAGAGCCTAATTATCACGTTAGTATGCCGAAGCCTCGACTCCTAGATCCTACCTGAAAACTCCAAGACGCGTCTCAAGAATCAACGTAGGAAAACAGTGAAGCCTACCAGTTAAACGGTCCAAACCGCGCGCCTTAACTCCATCCAAAACCTGAAAGACCGTCGGGAGAGGTATGTACAACCTTGAGCCACTACGTCGGAAGAAGGTATACGACCCGTAAACCCGAAACTTTAAAAAGCCCACAGACACACACGTCGGAAGAAGTATGTAAGCCCGACAGCCTCTAGAAACCCTGGAAGCCCTCAAATTGCCGAAGCACGGCAGAATAAGGCAACAACCCTTTAAACCCTAAGCATTAAAATTACCCAAGGCGCGTCGGAAGAAGGTATACGACCCATAAACATCCCTAAGCACAAAGCAGCCCCGTAAAGCCCTCCACATAGCCCAAGACACGTCGGAAGAAGGCAACAACCCTTCAAATCCTAAGCCCTATAAACATTAAACTTACCCGAGACACGTCGGAAGAAGGTGTACGAAACCTACATAATCCCTAAACACAACAAAAACAGCCCCGTAAACCCCTTAAAATGGCCCAAGGCACGTCGGAAGAAGGTGTAGGCATGGCTCTCCGAGGTCCCGGCAAGGCGGTCGCGCCAAGAAGGCTCTTCAGGCGGCCTGGGGCTCAGGAAATTCGGATCCCTTTTAAAGGGTTCTATAGGGGCTCCTTAAAAGGGATCCCTTTAAAAGGGTTGAGGGGTGTTCAAAGGATTCTAAGGGTTTCGGATCTCTTTCAAGGCTTCTAAGGGTTCCTTAAGGGATCCCCTAAAGGATCCCTTCTAAACGGGTTTAGGGATCCTTTAAAGGGTGCAAGGGTGTAGGATCCATTAGAGGGTTCAGGGTTTTTAACCGCTTAGGGCTCAAGAGGTCTAGGCCCCAGGTCTTTCTCAGCTTCTACTAAGAGCTGAACCGGTTTACGAGTGCTTAAAGGATCAGGAGCAGAAGGAAAGCGCCTCTTCTGACAAAAGCCGCCCATGGTGAGATGGTACAAGCGTAATTCCCCTAACCCGTAGAAGCCCGAAAAGAACCTTCTAGGAACCCTTGCATGAACCCCTTGGGTGAGCTTCCCTTATAAGAACCTAGCCGCATGAACACCACGGACAGGGAGGTGCCATTGCCAATGCCCAGCCTGGGTTTTGAAGGATTTGTGGAGTGGGGGACTTCCAGGGCTTAGACTTGCAAAGTTCTGAGTGCAGCGCTTAAGTTTAGGGCTTCAAGTTTGAGAGCTTAGGGCTTTTTGCCTCCTGCCGGGCCCCAGAAAAGTAAGGTCCTTCGGAGCGCTCCAGGAGTGAGAAGGAAGATTACGCTTGTTACTTACCACAAAGGGTTCGAGTTTAGGGTCTTGAAGAAGTCAACAGGATACCCACGAAGTTTCCAGCCCGAATCGCCAAAACCCAGAAGGCTTTCAGATCCTCCAAAAACTGAGACCTTGGATGTAATCCAGCCGCTTGTCCAGGGTCTTGAAATCCAAATCTGTTGGCAGCACCCGGGAACCGACCACCAGGCCAACATTCACGAAGTCCATGTGGAAGATGGCTGACGCTTCCTCTTGGGATCCATGCAGGGCTCAGGGTTTAGGACTTGGTGCCCCTGAACAGCCCAACGAGGCCTTCGGCTCGGAAACAAGTACCTTGAGCTACTTTGTTGTATAGGGCCCCTTTTGCTATGCCGCCTATGTAGCGGCTTTTGGAAGTAACCCCAAGCCCAACCCCTAACGCGCAATCACAAGCTCTCTGAACCCCGGGATACTTTTGGCCCCTTTCTAGTAACCCTTCAAGCCCGTCTAGGAACATCCTCTCCCTAAACCCTAAACCCTTAAAGGAACCCTGCATCCTTTCGAAGATGTAGGAGAAGAGAGGAGCCGTGGAATCCCGAGGCCTTTCGGGTTTCGCCGGAGATCGAACTTACCTCGGAGTGCTTTGATGGGGTTTTGAGGGCATATCAGGTTCGTATAGGCTTTCTTTCAGGGCGGATCTACAAGGTTCCTGAAGGGCTCGCTCGAAGGATCTGCAAGGGCAAGGGTGCCATAAAAAAAGCTTCGGGGCTCAGAGTCTGATAGGGTTTTGGGATGCTCAGGTTTTCGCAGAGTAAGGTCTCTCTGCATGTCAGTATGTAAACCCCTAATACGCAAAGCCCTCCCCATTATAGCGATTTGTTCGATAAGTGGATCTAAACACTCGGGCCCTTAAACTATAAGGCGGTTTAGGAATGAGGGCTCTGCATTCAGGTCTTGAAGTCTCCGTTTACGCGGATTTTGACAGATCTCTATGACAAGAGCTGTTGGAGCGAGTGATATGTGATGGGGTGTTAAGCTACAGGCGTTTCTGTCAAGGTTCCATAACAGGGCAAATACAAATTATGCACCCATGTTGTTGAATCTTGAACCCAGATCCCCGGAAGGACCAAAATAGCAGATCCCGTAAATTGGAAAACTAAGTTTTTAGAGGGTACTGTACAGGAACCTTCTTGAGGATCTACTTTTCGGATCCTGCCAGGCCCTGCCAGGCTTTACCCCTTCACAGGAGCCAAAATGACACCTAAATTGGGGCGCTATACCCCAACACTATGATCCCCTAGCTATATTGTATATTACACTTCATGCGCTTTTCGCGGTCATTTCGTCTTGAACAAAAACCCGGCTGCCTCCACGGTGATGGGCCCCTGGGACGATCCCCTCCTTCCGAGCTTTCCCCAGCTTTCCGCTGCCTCCTTCCGCTGATGCCGGACAGCGTAGTGTAGAAACGCCTCTTGGGCTTTTCTTTAGGGGTCTAAAAATTTAGGTTTCAGCTCACAGTTTGGGGGTCTATATGGGTTATGCAGGGAGATTCCGGAAGCTCCGGCCTCCTCCGCGCGCTTCCAGCCAAGGAGCCATCTCAGCTGCGCTTGGAAGGCCCACGGAAGCGGCAGCGTGAGAAAGGCGAGCAGCAGCATGACATGAAAGCTTGACTTGCCTAACTTGCCCAACCAAGGAAATTGAAAAGGCTTGACTTAGAGAGTAGTCGCAAATTCTATGAGAATCCGGAACAGCAAAGACAACTTAGAGAACTAACGGGGGGAACTATAGATTACCCCTCGGGATAAAGAACCCAAACTAGGATAAAGGGGTCACTTGCTCTACCACGAAGACTAAGTTACCGGACTCAGGGCTGAGAGTGTAGAGCAAAGGCAGAGCATGCAGCTCTTCGACGGCATCGGCGAAGTCACCTTTACTCCAAGTCCCTCTTGAAGCTTCAAAAAAATTAGTGCTTTCAAAAAAAATTCTGGCTCAGGGTCTCTGAAAAGTTTCGGGAGGGTTCACGAAGGCTTTGGAGTGCAGGGTTTTGGCGAAGCCACCACAAGGCTCGCACCGATCTTCGACGATTCGGTGGCCCAGGGGGCAGCAGCACTCCCCTTTGAGCTCCCGCGGGCAGTCGATGAAGCCATTGTGGCTGCAACCTGGTATCTTCCTGTTCTGATTTAATGAGGGAAACTTGCTGCAAGTTATTTCGATGAAGAAAGCATACTAGTTACTGCGTTTTTATTGTTAGGCGTGAGAGTGATGTTCCTGAGCGAGAACCCAGCAACCCGTCCACCAGCTTTTGGAATCGGGGACAGCCTGGAGGCCATCACAGTGACGCAAGCCCGCAGGTAGTTGGTTGCGCAGCAGATCATCCATGGCTCGCTGATACCCTTTGCGGTTGCCAGACCACCAATCGAAACGAGAAGTACCTAGGTTTCGCAGTAACACTTTACAATAGTTTGCCTTTTTTATGCTAGTGTTCAGTGATTCAGGTGTAAAGGCAGATTTCAAGAACAAGGAGGGTCGAAGGTACCACTGGGTGACCTGGTTAGAGCCTTGTACGAAAGTCTCCACAGACACCCTGCTAGTTAGAACCCATCCTGGACCCTTGCATGTAGTACCGCTGTTAGTACTCTATGTATTTTACGGTTCGGAGCCGATAAGAAACCAAGTTAGATTTCGGATTTTGGAGGTCTAAGTCTCAAAAATCCCATACCGTAGACTCTATCGACACCCGTCAGGGAAGCCTTATATATGTATATATATATATATATATGTATATATATATATATATATATATATATCAACCCCAAACCCTTAAGGGCCCAGGCACCGATCACTTCGAGTTTCTGCTCTTGGCTGGGCGCGGACCCAGACTGCACTGCCCAGGCCAGAGGTCGTCCCGTGTGCATGGACGAGTCTTTTGCATAAGCCTCGAAGGGTCACTCATATGTAGGCGCCTTAATACTTAGAATAGGGTTTGGGGGCCTTTCAATATTAGCAATTAGTTTAGCCTCTATGTATTGGAAGCTGTCTTCAAGGGCAGTACAGTTATGAGGGTTTGGGGCCGGGTGTGGGGGTCTTGAAACGGCTCCCATAAGGGTTCCATGTAAGGATTTCATTCGAGTTGTTACACGGTTCCCGCAAGGGCTCTATACTATAGGGGTCACACAAGCGTAGTTGTGATGCTTCTACGAGAGTTGGATATTGACCTGAGAGGGGTTCTATAGCCGCTAGGTGCTCCCCAACGTACCGTTCGCGATGAGGGTGCCCATTCTCCTACTCTTTAAGCTTGATACGGACATCCTACTGGTCAAGTACCACCCAAAGGGGATAAACAGGTACAGTAAGACCCAGCAGCGGCTGGCAACAAAGGCGCAACGTAGAGGCATGTGATCGAGCAAGTGTTGCCTTTTCCGTGACCGCCGCCACCTCCACCACCCCCACCACCACCCGCACCGCTGAGACGACGGAAGAGGATCTGGTTGTCAAGAAAGCTCAGCTTGTGGAAGCCCTCCATCTGAGGAAGGTCCGAGATGTTATTGAGAGCAGCTTCTCTCCTGCAGTCCTTCCTGGCACATTCGCTGGCTGAACAGGAGCTGCATGAGGCCACCGCTCCAACCCGACTGCTGTCCATGAGGCCATTGATCTGCACAAGCCCAGCATCGGCCACGCCAGCTTCGGAGTAGTCCTGCACGCTCAGAACTGCTTGCGAGCGTAGGCTCACGTAGGAGAAGACGCACCCATTGCTGCACCGGGACGCCACGAAGAGGATCAGAAGGGCGACGCAGCCGCAGCCCCATCGTAGCCGGTCGAGCACGTGCAGGGGATGGTCCACATGAGGAAAGTAGGCAGGCGCAATGCCGGTGTGTAGAGCTAGGGCTACGAAAGCCACCGACAAGAGCAGACAAAAGACCGAGCCCAGATACTCCTCCGCAGAGTAGAAGCACAGCAACAGCAGCAGTGCCGGAAGCGTTGCGGCAGTCATCCGCCACGGGGAGCCATGAAACTTCAGCTGTGGTGCAGCCATGGCTCCACAGACGGCTCCTAGTTATGTTTGCAGTCCGATCCCTGTCATTCTTGTTCTTGCTTGTATCATTAGCACAATCCTAGGCAACTGTTCTGTCCTTTCCGCGTCCTTTTTGAACCAGGAAGTTGGTGGATGCATGGAAGTGACGCTGAGAAAATGATTTCATTAGTCTCTCCAGCTCTCAACTCCGACAGCTTCGACAGTGCCGGACAACTCTCAAGGCGGAGTTCGGGTACCGTTCAAAGAGACATGGTGGCAGATATACAAGCTAGATAGGGGAAGAAAGAGGCACGAGGCCAGAAGGCGACAAGTTGGCCTGGAAAAGAGACCATGCTACTGCTTTGTGGCTTAGTGTCATGTAGACATCGGATATTGGAACAATTTAGATTTAACAGAAAGCCCAACAAGACTGAGTAGTCAGGGTCTACTATCTAGCACTATGGCTACAGCTTGCTGAACTAGTCGCCGTGCTTCTGGGGTCTGGCCTAATGCTACACCTACATAAAATCATATATATATATATATATGTGTATCTATATATGTATATAGTATGTCTTCATTGTTGTTTCTTTGTTTGGTTCACCAAGTTTCCTCTTCAGCCAGAAGGTCACTGCACGAAAGAACATAACCAATTACAATGCAGACTCTCATAAACACCCCGAAACCTTGCGATTAGCCCATATAGAACCTTCAAAGGAAGCCTTTCAAACACCCTCTAAGCCCCTACAGAACCCTCTAGAGGAACCCTTCAACGGTTTCCTTAGCCGTCTATAGAACCCTTTAAAACGACATCTCATCCAAACGGAATCCTAAACCTTCTAGAGCCCTTGCGAGACACCTCTTCGGTCATCTTCGAGACAATGCTTGCCGCCCAGTCTTTGTGGTTGATGCTCATGTCCTCGGGCTCTTCTTTGGGATTAAGGTCTATGGGGTTACAGTTAGTCGTGGAATGTAGGGGTAGGGGCCTTAACAATTAGAATAGGGTTCTGGGCTCCTCTATAGTATAATCATAATAAGGAGCCCCAAGGAACATTATAGGTCATCATTAAGGCTTCTACAGTCGGGTCTTTGTTTGGCAGGGAAGGGCACTTGCAAGCAGGCCAACACAGGGCTTCGAAGTGAGAGCTCCACTTGCCAAAATTAAGAAATCGTTGGTCATGGTTATGCATCCTCAAATTCCGGTGATATAGGATCATCTGAGTCCTGAAACATACTGTAAGAAACCTCCAGGACGGATTATGCACGGAAAGTGTCAGGGTCCCTTCTTTTCCCCTTCTCAGAGACACCTAACAGACTCGATACGGCGCCTGCGAGCCCCCAGTTATCACACATGTGTGTTAGGGGCTTTCATAAATTCATAAAACTATGGGTGCCTCCCCCCTAGGCTCCAGCCTCCAGCGCAGATTATAAGATGCCAAACAGGCCAAAACCCTAAACCTCTCAACTTCAAGCTCTTAAACCCTAAACCCCAAATGAATTCCGAATCCGTGAGCAGCTCAGGCATCTGCAGGAGGAAGTGTCATGGCATGCTCTTCACAGAAACCTGGAGGTAAGCCATGTGCACCTGCAAAAAGCTCTCCAGATTGTGCAGCATGCTGTCGTCTCCACAAGAACTACGGAACATATAAAAGCTCCATAGCTTTGTTGGCATGTCGGCTAAGGCGGAGCTGCTGTCCATCTGCAGGTCACCGTACTTTACTGCCTGCTGTCTCAATTGTTGCAGCCTTGGGATTTGGAGGTTCCGGGTCTTCTACCACAGCGGACTGTCTAAGAGACTTAAGAATTGAGGATTTGTAAGTTTTAAGACTTTGAGGCTAAGGAGCGCTACTACAGGTGCAACATTCAAGATTTCTCCATGGCCAACGTATGCCAACTGCACAAGCCCTATAACTTGAATTCTCCCGTTTGCCAAAACTTCGCTAGCCGCCAGAACTTCTGCAATAAGTTGTTCCCCAGAAGGATTCCGATAGGTACTGCACAGATTGTTCGCGCATCCAGGTTGACCTTGCAAGTGACTGAGGAGGGTTAGTTGATACCCGACAAAGAATGAAGGTGAATTACTCAGCAAAGACTCCACCCTATAACTGAAGGCTCCCCTCCAGGAGCTTGCCTTGCTGAAGCTTCTTGCTGAAGACTTCCCCGGGGTTCAGGGCTTCGGGCTTGGCGTGAGAGTTTAGGGTTCGGGGTATAAAGCCTCTATAAAATTTAGGGGCATAACACCTCTATAGGATTTAGGGGCTTGTCTTTATGCTTCGATTTGACACCACAGTTGGGTCATTCCCTGGTATTCCTAGAGTCCTAGAAAGAACCCTGCACTCAGGGAACCCTCGGCCCGAGCCATCTGGCCCTCATATAGGGGCCTCAATAATTAGACTAGGGTTTTGGGCTCCTTACTACTATAGTTATAATAAGGAACCCCCAAACAGCATTGGTAATTATTTAAGCCCCTATATTAGACCTCGCAGGAGTGGCATGCAAGAGACCTCTTTGTGTCACGTCTTCTTGCTGATGGTCGAAACTGCTTGTCATTTGCTTTGCATTCTTGTCATGCTGGTCGCCGCCCGGACCGAGACTGCGTGCAAGCTGAAGGGCAATTTATAACACCGCAGCGTAGCAGTTGCGGTCGTACAAGGAAGCGTATTGAGCCGTCTTCAGAAACATCATAGAGATAGCAGTGCTTCACGGGGAAGCAGGACTAGTACTGGCACTGAGCAGCAGCAGCAGCAGCAGCAGCAGCAGCGGCAGCGGCAGCGACAGCTGCCAGCAGCAATGCTGGTGGTCGCTTTTGCACTGACCGGCACTGACGGTGGCACAGGAATGATCATAACTCTACCAATGGCCATCAGTCCTACTACAATTCCCAGTGATGCTAACAACGCTGATAATAGTCACAGCTAAACAATCGTATTGCCAAAACCAAGGCAGGAAAAGCAATGACCGCTCTGATTGGATTGAAAAGGTGTTGATTTCAGAAGTTTTGGTCCGGGCGATGATGGATCAACGAGCCGTTGGCGATTTCATTTGCCGACAGTTAGCCATGGGCTTTAAAGAACAGGTTTCAGAGAAGCAACAAAGTATGGTACATGGGCTCCACGCAGGACAAGGCCGAAACTGTAACTTGATCCAGTTTTTTGGGAGCCATACAAACCACGAGAGCTCGGAGCACTGATGAAATCATAAATTTGTCGCTACGCTTGCTCTTCCGCGCAGCGAAAAAACTCAGTGCGCTTAGGCAATGGGGTAGGGTCGAGGATTTAGGGGAAAGACTCCTCTCTTCCGTATGCTCAACTACTCTATACATCGCCAGGCCAACTGCCAGGTATTTGACAAAAAACTGATGCATTGGCCGCGAGGGGCCCCGGCCCCGCCTGCAGATTGCCGGGATGGGGTGGGGACTACCTTTACAGTGCCCTTACAGTACCACTTGCTTATGTCGCAGGCTGACATGGGATCCGCTAGGGGGTAGTGGCATTGCAGTCTGCATTTGCTGGAGGACCTCGGGTTGTTTCGAGGAAGCGGGAGCTATGGGCTCGAGCTTTTACAGGGTTTATCGGTTCTTTCCCTCCTACCTAGCAAGGACAGCTTATAGGGTTTAGGTTACAAGGGTCTGCATAGGATTATGCAGACCATCTTTGCGCTTTCGCATTGGAGCTACGCGAACAACGCTGGAAGCTGATCCAGGGGACCCTGAAACTTGCCCCAGTCCATGGACGAATCGAAGCAGGCGGCCCGGGTGGCACAAAGCAGAGAAATCTAGGTCCCTGCCAAGGCCAACACGAAACAATCAGAAGAAAATGGGCTGGAGCCTTGCAGCTGTTCCTTGGGTGTAGGTCTGATGGATCACAACTGCAAGCAACGACAGGCACACATCCACACACTGACGGTAAATTGCGTAAAGACTTACGCTTGTGCACCTTTTTTGATTCCAACGGCTCCGACAGCTCAGTGGGTAACATTCCCAAACATGGCTTCCGGTTTCAAAAAGGCGATTGGTCCTAAATCCTACATCGTGCAAAAAGTCTTTTTCCAACATGGTTTGCACAGTTTGCCCACAGGGTAGACCTAGCTGATAAGTTGTAGCATTGTAGCTGCAACAGCTGCTCCGATCCATCTTCAGTAATGTAAAAAACTGCCATGCGCAAGATGAATTCGTCGTTCGCTCGGGTTTAGACGGAGGTACCTTCCTGTTCATCTGCATCTAATAGCCCCGTACGCCACATGGGACACTTGCTATTGAACAAGATCTCCAATGCCGACAAGAAGATACTCCACCTCTGGGAAATCTTCCCACCCCTGGCCCATTTGCGATGAAGTCTGGGCCTTCATCAGCTGTCGAATTCTGAGCCAGTTCTTCACAGTACCGTCAGTGGCACTTCCTCCTCGTTCTTCACCAACCTGCCAGGGGTCCTGCATTAGGGAGCTACGAGGAACTACAAACACGCGGATGGAAATTACAGTAGAGGCCTGAGCAGTGAGCACAGGGTGTTGCGGTATATTACGGGGGCTAGCACGGCATGTTCACCACATTTTTTCCCGAGAAGCCTTACAGGCACAACTGTCACAACCCGAAGCCCTCAAACCTAAAATTCTGAAGCGGGAAACATCACCTATTGGCCCGTGTGTGCAGCCACGGCCTTGCCTCCACCCGTGTTCTTGGGTCTACATCCACGCCTGGGCGGTAGCACGCTTCCACCTGGACTTTGAAGTTTAGGGTTCAGCTTAGCGGCAGGTGAGGTCTCGCTGTTCGCAGCTATCGAACTGGGAGCTTTGGGCAAGTAGCCATCTTCTTCAAGGCTTTCCGGTTTAGGGTTTGGGTCAATGTGCTTGAGAGATTGAAATTAGGTGCAAATCAGGAGTTCGAGGGTATAGGGATTCGTGAAGGAGCATGAATACTTCCCTACAGGGTTACAGTGGTTAACCAAAACGAAAGACACCTTTACATGCACGTATCACACTGCGTCGTAGACGGCCAGGGAAAAACAACCCATGAAACCTTAGACCCTAAACCCATAAACCCCTAAACCCTGTCCAGTCGGAATCAGAAGGGCTTTTGGGCTTAGGGGCTTTTGAGCACATGGTTCTGCTGCAGTACAAAAGTAAGGGTGCCTGTTGTGGAAACCCTTGTATCCGACTCATCGAAGGGCTCCGAAGGCATCGAAGTCACCATCTGGTTGGCAATTGGCGTGATGCATTAAGACATCCACGGTACGGACTCCAACATCCTGTGCATGCTTTATTTGAGGGATTGGCATTGAAGCTTCTGAATGCTCATGGCTCCCACGGAGCATGTTGATGGTTTGATGGTGAGAAAAGAGACGCCGCTCCGCGACCTCGAACCCCAAAACCTCAATCCATCACCACAAAGCCCTCAACTCCGCAACCCATAGAACACGACGACCACAAAAACTAAACTCCGAAAGTGAATAACCGTTATCAAAACCCTGAAGGCATATGCATGACTCATGACTATAGATCCACAGCCCCTAAAGCAACATGACGTAGGGCGCGCAATATTCAGTATGCTCCCCCCCATAACAAGATCTGCTTTAAATAACCTTCGAGTGTTGCCTCGTCTGTGGCGATGGCACGTGGCGCACGGCAACAGAAATGTCCTGCAGGGCCGTTTCAGGTTTTGATGATGTTCAGCACTGTCAAGCTTAGGGCTTATACTGGGAGCTCTGGGATATGTAATGTAAGAAAGTGTGTGTGAAAGGGGCTTAGGGTTCATGATGGGAGATCAACGAGAGCATGCACCCACCACCTGAAACTCTGAAGCCTAAGCCGCAGGACGGAATGCGAAGAAACCAGAACCACAACTCCAGCAATGCCTGCACCCAGTGCTTACCCTTGAGCCAACAGACTAAACTACAATGATCAAATTTCTAGCGCTCCTGGCGCTCCTGGGTCAAGTTTCTAAAGATGTATTCAATGGCTTTTGTGCTCGACTTGAAGCGTCTGCGTTGATTGCAGTTCCTGTCAAGCTTCAGCTCTCTAGCAAGCCTCTCAGATTAGCCCAGGCTACTACCATCGCGACAGTAAGCGACAGCTGTGGTAGCAGTTGTCAGAACTAAACCGAGAAAATCAAGACTAGAAACTGCGCAGCAAGTTCTGGGGTAATAGTTCTGCTATTAGCCCTAGTCAGTTGCCCAGAAGTCGTCGACGCGAGCTCCAGCGAGCTGGCTTTTTATGTCCGTTGTGTGCCGCACTCAGGCGAGGCACATTCGCGGTTTCGTCAGTTGAGGGGTTGAGGGTTTAGTGTCTTTTGCCTTCGCAAGCGTTTCAGCTTACGGAGCTTTGCTGTCCAGGCACTTTTCGGAAGGATTTAGCTTCAGGTAAGCTCCAGGTAGACTCTCGGGCTTCTATGGCACTTGAGTGAGTTCGGGAGGTCCAGAGACCAGAAGCTGGGGGTTCGAGGTCCGAGGCCGAAACCCGCATTACTTATTATGTTGTGATTCATGACTATCCTTATCCATCATCATTCTTAATACATCAATCAATATATATATATATATATATATATATATGTATACATATGTTGTTAAATACGATTAATCCCTATAAATATTCATTATTCATCACTGATGGCTAATAATTAACTACGGTTAATCGTTCTTGACCCAATGCCCATGGCGGGGCCTCCTCCTCACGCTCGCGCTCCTTCCGCACTCGGGCTGCCGAGGCGTCGGCGGCGACGTCCAAAGCCATATCCTGACTTTCTCCCAGGAATTTATGTAAGGACGTAGGCTTTGGGGCTTCGGGGTCAGTACTAGATATATCTGGAGGAAACGTGCCCCCCTAATGCTGCAGTACATACTGGCATGGAAGGTCTTTGCAACACGTTATGACTTACAGCCCTGTGAGTATTGAGGCGATGCAGGGATCTAAAGACTCTTCAACAAAGGGTTGAACTTTAGATGTAGGGTTAATTGAGATGAGGGTATCGAGCCTGTCACAATCAAGCACAGAAATTCATTCATTATGACCTGTTTTCGAGGCATCTGCAGCTTCATCTCTTGTCCTCAAAACTTCCGCAAAGTTCTGCTGACTCTCAGCCGAAAAGCCCCGAACCAGATCCCTGCAGCGCCAAGATCCCCTACAGCCCAAACTCGACAGTGGCACCTGCAAGGCCCGACTACTCAGTTGTTGTCAGAATCATTCTTGGTTCTCAGGGTGTCACCCCGCACTGAGCTTCCCCTGACTGGAAGGTACAGCCAGCGAAATCCCTACCCTAGGCCGTTTCCGACCTGTTCCATGTCGGTCAAGCTGCATGGCTTTGGGGGGTTGGGTCAAATGGAACCAGCATTGCAGATGTTTGCGTTGAAGGGCTACCGCTACCCTCGCAGCCCAAGAGTCCTGTTGTAAGTATGCAGCATAGCTGTATCATAATGTAACTAGAGACCCCAAGTCAGGTACGATTCCTGCTTAACCGTGGTCTTTTGGGCCCTCGAGATTCGATGCAGGCTCGAGGACACAACCCCGGTGTAGCCAAGTCTCCTCCAACTCGTTCGCTCGATCCAAGATCGCCTCTTGCCGTTCTCTCTTGTCGCATTGCTTTCTGTTTACCGCGAGGATTGCAGAGTTCTAGGGATTTGAGTGCTTGGGGATTTGGGATTTGTGTTTGAGCGCCCAGTTGAGGAATGTCGCTGCCCTTATAGACTTATAGAGAGTCTGCAATATGGCTAACGGTCGATCGGTCAGGGGGGGATTTGGTGCAAACGTAGAGGAGACGGTAATTATATAAAGCAATTTGCCTATTGCTTGGGCTTCAAGTGGGGCTCAGGGTTTACTCAATGCCAAGGGTGCTAGGTTTGGGCATCTTGGCTTCGAAGGGTGGTCCAGTTTCGGGTTCCGTTTTTTGCGTGTAGGGTTCGTGATTTGGAGTTACCCCTATTCCTGCCTTTCCGTGCCCTGTTCCGGGGTGCCTTCAGCGCACCCGCCTGTCGCCAAGCGAGAGTGGCCACCATGTTCCGTAGCTGAGGCCTCAGGCTCTGAAACGTCGGTTAGGTTAGCCTATTGTTGCTGAACTTGCCCTGGTGCTCCAACAGTTCCCCTATGCACCGCGCACCTATGTTTTCGAAACTTCTCAATAAGATCGCCGGCATCAGCGTTAGCAGCTCCAGATCGGGAAGCATGCTTCCAGGTTCTATTCCTGCAAGGGATCCCTCAGAACCTGACTCGAGCTGTGAACACACTCGGCGGACGTGAGTACCGGAAAAGACAGAGGCTGCCCGTGCAAAGGGCAGGCTGTTCTCCTGCCGCGGCTTTCGAACTCAACAAATGGCTGTAGCAGTTGCCGGCAACAGACGGCAACACCAAACTCAGGAGGATCCCGATGCAGGCACAAGCCTGAATACGCATTCCTTCAGCATACAGAAATCCCGGCAGCGAGCCGAGCGTTACGAACGCCCGCTGCAACCCCTGAGCAGCTGAGGCCGCAACAGAAAGACTGAGTCTTGAAGCAAGTCGGCAGCCGAAATCAGAGGCGAGAAGAGCCTCAGCCGGAAGTACTAAGAGCGCCAAGCACGCTGGTGCAAAACGCTGCAATGCCGCATATAAGACCCCATGGACAACTTCAGGTGGTAGCTACGCAGAACTCTTGCACACTATTCTTGTCTTTATTCTGTTGTGCACAGGATACATAGTCTATCTCACACATCACCTATGACAGTACAATATAGACGATATATAGCATACTCGAAGACATCTTCTAAGACCATCACTCCAGCCACGAGCCCCGAGATTGGCACGACCAGGTGGCGGCACTTGTAGTGGGCTTCGACCAGCACCCAGGCGATGGCTATTCCACCTCATCGGACTGACGGCTGTGCTGTGGGATTTATGGGTCTAGACGTGTATAGCGTGTGGACGGTGTCTACAGGGCTTAGTGGCTTCCTCTTTAGTCCCCCTCATATAATTATGTTACGAGTTCTAGAAGGCGGCTTGATTCGGGTCTGCCCAGTAGCCCCGACTTAGTCTGCAGACTTTCCCGTCAGGCAAGCCGCAAAGCGTGCCGAATAGCTTCTGCTTGAGGCCCGTCCTCAGTTCTTGTTGTGTCGAGGAGTCTAGGAGATTCGGATCTTGCACATCGTACGGGTGAGGAGGAACTGTGTCCTTGGATATCTGCCTGGACTTCGGTTTGCATTTTCGGGAGCCGGGATCTAGCTTTGGGCTTTGTCAGCAGAGATGGCATTCAGGCGACATTCTGAAGGGGGGGGGGGCAGGGTTGACAATAGAATTCCAAGACTTCGGTCCCTTGTTAAGGCACTGCCGTACCGCTTCAACCCGCAAAGCCTGGCCAGCAGCTTATCAATGCACCTTACAAACCTGAAAACCTAGTGCCTCAGAAACAATCAACAAACCTTATCTTATCAAACCGTGAAGCCGTGCACAAAAGAAGCCATTAAGAACACTTGTTACTTGTATGCTGCCCCCCTTCATCAGATGGATCCCAAGGGACCTGAAACCCAGTGGCCACGAGGTATCGCTCCTGCCCAAACACTTGCTGGGATCTTCAGCTTCGGGACTCCCAAGGTGGTTTTAAAGGGAACTCCAGAAAGTTGGAATATGGTTTCAGGGTAGGATACCTTATATAATTTACCATAAAGGGTTTAGGATAATCATATTCCAACTTTCTGGCTTTTACTTTAGGGGATGGTGGATCGAGGCTCTTGCAGAATCTGGTTCTTGGGTTTTCTTGGGCTTGGTTGTTATTAGGAGCTCGTCAATGAAGCTTGAAGCCCCAGTCGTTTGGGGCTGGGAATTTGTCCACATGCGACGTTTTGGCAAAGTTCCAGTGGAGAGCCCGATAGCTACAACTCTGTGAGTCATCTCTGAAACCCTATAAAGCTCCGTATCAAAGCGGTAAACACAAACTAATGTTGACCCTAACCAGCAGGATCCTTCGTATTCGTGCCACTATTCTTTGCTAGAGTCATGAAGCATTAAAGGAAAGGAACCCGTAATCTCAGATCAACCTGGTGCTAATTCCATGCCGCCGTGCCACAGGCCCTGCCACCCTGGAGGTCATGGGCTTCACCACGCACACCTCAGGTCTTGGGGGCTTTCTATGGATAGGGGCTTTAAGGTTCTAGCTTCGAGGTCTTAAGCCCAACTCAAAAAGGCCTGTGGTGTTGGGGTCTTGGGCTATATAGGATTCTAAGATGTTCTAGGGTTTTAAAGTTAACTCTTTTCGGGCTCACACGGTGCTTACCCTCCTGAACCTCCATAGGATTGCCTCACCTCACCGCTGATCTGCAAAAGTCGAAACCGACATCGCGCATACGGGGCCGAAGTCACTACATGATACAAGCGGGATAGAAGCAATTGCGACCATGGTTTTGGCCAGTATCCCCATGTAGGATGTAGGCAGTGCGACGCGGAAACTCACCGCTTTACGTCTTCAGATCTTTCGGGGCTTTGGGTTCGGCGATTCATGTGGATTCAGGCCCAGTTGCCGAGGAGAAGAGTTTCGTCGTGAGGAAGAGGAGTGCCTGCAGCAGACTTGCTTTGGGGCGAAACACTAAAGGGTTTCGGTGCTTGGATTTTCGGGGCTGGGCTTGGAGGTGCTTGACTGACCTGCCGCCAGCAACAAGGAATTGCCTCATTGCAAAACCCACGAGCATTGGGGTCCCGAACCCGTTTATCCTACTGCAATGGGTCCCAGGTACCTCTTTGGCACAAAGCAGGGTTTCTATGCTAAGAGCTAATCCACTTCTTGATCTAGCCTAGATCCTCCAGATACGTATTCAGGATACTTGCGATGTGTATGCTTGACCTTGTTTTCCCAACTCTGTCTGCTTACACATCGGGCTTTGCGGGGTGAAGGTTTGATGTTTCATGGCTAAAGATAAGAGCTATAAAAAGCCAGAACACATTATGGTGCAGGACGTAGTTCAGATACATGCGCTGCTTACGACGGAGGGATCATTGGCTACAAAGATGAGCCCTTTAAACTCCGGACGCCAGGTAGCACTCGTGCACCAAACTTCCAAAAGGTTCAGGCCAGCATACGGGGTTCCAGGCTTCTTTCAAACGAGACACTTCTGAATCTTGTCCTTATACTTCAATTCCGGTACGCCACCCCTATCCCCAAACCGGCACAACCCAACATTTAAAATTTCGAACCGCAAGTCAGATCTGGTAGGGGCAGCAGCAGCCTGCAGATGCCCGGACATCTGGCCTTTCCCTAGCCAAACTGACACCACGGATTGTCCCTGACCCTCAAACTCTTCACGGTATATTTTGTAGCAGTTCCCGCAGCAAATTTTACATACTGTATTACAGAACCTGGGAGTTGAACAGAACGGAGTAATACGAAGAGACATGACAAAGCGGTACTCGACAATCTCTTATAATGCAAGATACAAGGTCAGATCAGAGATTGAAAAGTCAGAGGGAACAGAAGCACAACCTGGACCCCACATTTCCCTACCGTCAGAGACTCTGACCGTGGTGGATGCGGAGAAGGACGAGTAGAGCTTGCACACAAACCGGCCCCCAGGTAGTAGGCCTCGGAATGATTCAGGATCAGGGACAGGATTTCAGGATGTAGGATAGAAAGTTCAGAGGTTGAGGGGTGGAGATTTGGGTGCTACGGTGTTTTGGATTTGGGATACGAGGGGTGCTAGCAGCATGAATCAACATTTGCATCTGGGCCCTCTGTAGCTTTGCGTTCAGCGTAGAGGGTTAACACGAATTAGGTTCCCGAGAACCCTGGCCTCAAAGCCCACAAACCCTATTTGCGTTGCGCCCGCCCAATGTTATATCCGCTTCTGCCCGTGCCGCCGCAGACACTTTTTTGGCTGTCAGTGCTTGGAGGAGGGCATCTCACCAAAAAAATCGACAGTCTCGCTGCTCGGCCAACGAATAAGTTAGGCCTTGAAGGCCCCATACATTACAAAACACCAATCCCCAAAAGCCCCAAAACCCCTAAACCCTAAAAGCACCCAAAACCCTTTTGAAGCAGGAACTGGATTAGTGAGTGTCCAACCACACAAACGAGCGCACTTTTTGGTCTGAGCCCAAGACGTCTGTCGAACAGGGTGCGTTCAGAACTAGCACGAAAACTACGCTCGCATGAGGACATGTCAACACGGCACTTCAAGACAGGGAAATTTCACACCCGTCTTATCTGTAGTGTGACGTCCGAATCATGCTCGAATTATGGCCGCTTTGGGCCAAGCCTACTTCACCGGATTATACCGGGAGCTTGCGCAGTCAACCGAGCCGAGTGCGGCGACTCAAGGCTCCAGGCTGAGTTCTTCAATCGCGAAGCGGAGTGCTTTCGGTACTCTCGGTATTCTGTGCGGCTTGCGCGGGCACATCGAGTACCTGAACGAGATTGCGATCAATGCTGTGATTGATCAAAAGCGGTTTCATACTCTTAGTGAGACAATCCGCAAGTTGTAAATGCGTCGGTATCCATCTCAACTCATCGCCAAAGGGATGGTACAGAGCGTGCGTTAGCTCGTCCTCTTCCCAAAGTCCTTGGCGGAGTCCGGACATCTCTATGGCAAGGCGTTTATCCTCGCAAGACTTTGGAATCGACGCTGTCAAGTGATCCGAAAGGGACCTGCAGTCCGTATACTGCAGGTGGAACATCGATCTCTTGGCGACTTCTTCCCAGTTCTGTGACCGGGGAAGTTTGCCGAGCAGTTCGAGTACTGCTGCTCGAATGCGGTCTCCATGCTCTATGGCGTGTTGCAACGAGTAAGCCTCACACTGCAGTGTGGCGCGACAAACCCGTTTCATGGTGGACGAGGAGAACGAAATGAGGTGCATCTCATGCGTTGGCGCGTTCTTGTCCACCGCCGACTGTGCGGAAGTGAGGTAGTGGAAACGGCCTCTCTGCGACTTATGGTTCGCCTCTCCTGCAAAGGAGGCGTCGCAAAACGTGACAACCGCCAGCTCCCCTGTATTCCAGGGTAACTTAGCGCTGTACGTGATCGGCCTATCCGCATCTCCTAACGCCAGTGCTACTACGCGATTTGCTTCACGGAGCGTATCCACCGTGGCTGTCGTAACACGCTGCTGCAGGGCATTCATCCTATAGGCAAGATCAGGCCTCGTGGCGCGGGCCACCCAAGCCAGCGATCCTATGACGGATCTCAGCGCTGTGCGCTGGCCATTCGAGACTGGAGTCGTGCCCTTTTCAGACTTATGTATATCGATCGGGCGAATTGCACGCGTGTTATCCCTACAGTTTATACTGATGGTCCCATCGGCGCTTTGCACATACTCGCGTCCGCAGAAACGGAACTTCTCAGTCTCTATGCGACCGATCTTAAACTTATCCAGCAGATTCTGGATAGCCGGCTCGCCTTCGGCGGTAGCAGCCCACAGGAAATCATCCACGTGGGTGCACAAGCAAGCGCACAAACGACCACCTTCTCCTGTAATATAGTACAGGGCTGACAGAATTTGCGAGGCATTTAAGCCAAATTCTCGGGCACTCTCCTTTATACGGAGGTATAGGTTCCGACCCGCGTCGGTCGTGCCATACACGGGTACTCGGGCAATCATATGCCCGGCTCGCTGAATCTCTGCATCGGGCACACCCTTAGGGTGTTTAGGAACCCGAAGAATGAGGAGGCGCTCAAGGGGTTTCCCTTGGAAGTATGCGTTCGTTATATCGGCTGCTTTGAGCCGCAGGGCCAACGAAACCGCCCATGAACACAGAAGGGCTATACCTTCCGGCTCGGCCGTGGGGCTGTCTGCCCTGATATCCTCCTCATTCGAGATATGCTCGAAGTTTCCACATGCGACCAAGCGTGCTTTCCACTTGGGAGTGTATGCTGGCGTCCCCTTTAGGTGTTCATTCTTATCGGTGAGGACCCATTTGGTGGGGATACACACGTGACCAGCCTTTGTAAGCTCCTTAAACTCCTTGTCTGTGCAAGGGACCACTGCGTTGAATTCAGTGTACTTCTGCCATTCAGTTTTCATGGCAGCATCCAGCCCCAGCTGTACCTCTACAGGGGCTTTATGGTAATCCAGGAGCGAGGCCATGTAGCCAGCATCGACATTAGAGCCGAAGGCGTCTTCCCCATCTGGGGTGAGAGCAAAGGCCTTGGATTCCGCCGCTCGACTATCCGAGGGCTCAGCTGCTGGCACTGTCGTGCCAATCGCAGCTGTGTGCGATGCTGCTGCCAGTCCGTCGTCTTCCTCAGGAATGTAGTGACACGGATGGGCTTCTGGCAGTCCGTTAGCACGTATGTGCTCGGCAAGTTTCGAATGTTCGAGCCATATGTGCTGGGCGATATTTCGCCGATGGCATCGCCGCCAACTGGCCTCCGAACACAACAGAAGTATTCGGTGAAAGTCATCGTGGGCCTCGCTAACTATTCTAGCGATCGTACAGAGCCCTTGGTCTGTTTGCAGATTGGCTTCAATCCCGCCCCGATTCCTGTTGCCTAACTCGGGGGCGTGACTGTACACAACCCCTTTTGCAAAGCATGTGGCAGAAAGCTCATCACAATTGTATTGTGGATGCCGAACGCTGTACGGATGACTTCTGCAATCTACGATTTCCTTAATCCCGTACTCGTGGATGCGCTCTAGGAACGTCTCGATGGGAAGATCAGAGTGACCCATGGTGTATATCCCATCGCCTTTCCTGCCAAAGGTGTTGGGCGCATCCCTATATATGGGGTAGCCTAAGTCCGACAAAAGCTGTATGTCATCTTTAGACAACTTACCGAGATCACTCACCGTGTATGCGGAGAGACTGTATCTTTCTCCTACAAACGGTGCGACCATGTGCACGTCCTTCGGGCGAAACTTAAGAACCTTGTTCTTAGTATCATGGACGGTGCCATACATTGTCGTGTTTTGAACACGCACGGGGGTTGTACCCGTGGCTTCTTCCACCCATAGGCCGCCTCCACGATACTCGCCCACACCTATAGTGTAGTTATACGAGCCAGGAGTGTTCGCTAGGTCTCTATGGGCCTCTGCGCCTCTGTTGGTAAGCTGAACGCTACTCCACTGTGGGAGATGATGACCGGCTTGCATACTGTGATGCAAGATGTAGTGGTTGAGGTACATGGCGAACGACGGTCTCTCACGCGTTGGTCCAGAGACACCAACAAGACCACCGTGCCGATATACTCCCACCGCGAGAGCTATGCTCCCGGGATCTCCATCATCTAGGAGCGGGCGCGTGTACGCCTCGCGTCGGTCGCGGTCATAGGCACGAAGGAGGGCCAGACACTCATCGGGGGAAAAACCCTGAGTATCTATCAGGCCTTTTGCCATGATCTCTACTTGATCAATCTCTTCCGCAACTAGTGCATCATCACGGCCTCCTACTGGCGATCGCGACCGGGCGGTTTCGCCCGTCTTATCTTTGGCGCGAAACCTTGCAGGTGTAGATGGCGCTGGCATCGGTGTGCCGGGCATCATCGCTGGCGTCGATGGTGCTGGCATAGACACATCGTGCGCGACTGCCGGTGTAAGCGGGGCAGCTGCAGCCACTGGACGTGGCGTCGCTGGTGCTGTGACCGGATCTGCTACGCGCTCATCCTGGAACCTTTGTTCCGGCCCATGGACAATGGCTTCCGGAAGCACTGGTTCTCCTGCCAAAACGCGATGCGCTGCAACTTCAATTTCATCAGCCGGGCGCATCTTCCTAGCGTTCACAAGTACAGGGATATTCTCGTGTAATACCCAGTACGCATTCTCTGCCTCACGTCCTATGACGCGGCTAACCGTGGACCACACGACACCTGGGCTGCCAGGGACGTTATCCCGACGGTAGATAACTAAATCACCAACCTTATAGTCAGTGTCTAGAGGGGCTGCATTACGCTGTAACGCTTTGGCCACCTTGCGGGAAGTCTCTAGATGAACAAAGGCCTTTTTGGCTTCCTGCCGTGCTCTGTGCCGAATGTAATATACACTCGTCTCATCATACTTGGTGAACAATGTACCAAGGCTTTCGGACTCATCTAGCACGGAACCCGGCGTTCGAGGCTGCTTTCCCAACACGTGTTGTGCTGGGCTAAACCCTTGGTGCCTACTAAGCTCGTTCTTAGTAGTAACACTCTCGGTAACGACCGCCTCCATCTCCTCGATATTCGAGGGCTGAGTCTCCTGCGCGACTTTTCTGATGATGGCCTTAGCAAGTCCACCATGGCGTTCGACCTTTCCAATAGTCTGCGGACTCTCAAGAGGGGCGTTCTTATGGGTTATACCATGCTGTGCCAAATACTCTGAAAATTCTCCCCTGAAGTGCGTCCCTCTGTCAGTGGTTATGACTTTGGGATGTCCAGCCCAGCTGATCCACCTGTCAATCAGGCATTTCACACACTGGCGGGCACTTGGGTTACCACCCCCAGATTTCACGAGCACAACTTGCTGGAAACTTGTTCCCATGTCAACTATATTGACAGCAGTATAGCGATTTCCATAGAAGTCTTTGACCTCTAGCGCATCCATACCTATCGTATGGTTGAACTCCTTTGGGAACACGCTATCGCCTGCGACAGGGTGATGCCTGGGCACTGGAGC